GTCACAGAAACATAAATATAATACAATTTTTCTCCTTTGCATGCTTTGTGCCTTAGTTTTATTTAGAAACAAATGACTCACCACAGATTGTAAGGACAAGGATTAAGATTACCCAGGACTTGAGCATTTTTCAAGTCAAAAAAGGAGTGCTTCCTTCAGGAGACCCAGCAGATGGGAGAAGTGACTTTGGTTTAGAAAAGCATACTCCACGTAGCTATTATTTTCAATAGTCAAACTCTTGCTGGTAGAAACACCCAGAATCCTGAGTGTGAGAGCCTTGATGGGAGCCTGAATGAAGAAGGAACAGGAGGAGGAGAAGCAAGAGGAGGGAAACATTGGCCAGAAGGGGTGGGGAGGTGACTTAGCAACGCAAACTGTAAACAATTCCGTATTCTCACGGAGAACAGGGAAGTCATCATTTTCTTTGGGTTTGGAGAACAGCACTTTGACAGCTTCTCTTGGAAGCTTCCATTTTTGGTTGTGACCGGGGAAAGGGTGTTTCTCCTGCTGTTTCTGTCCTGAAGTGGGGAGCGAGAACCTCCTTGATTGGTGACCCATATACACATTAGTACCCAAGGTGAGACGGTTGAAACAGAAACCTGAAACTTGAAACTGCCTTGCTTGAAATCTTTGGCCTCTGAAGTGGGACTCTCTGAGGCCTGCACCCTGAGAGTCTTGGGTCAAGGTGAAAAGAATCTCCGGCTCAGGGGATGCTGCCATCTTTGTTTTCTTAACTAATTGGATTAATAAGTAGTGCACAGCCAAACATTTGCAAAGGTCCAGATACAGCCCATAGGAGCTCCCATAGGGCAGAAAACCTACCTGCAGAAAGGAACTGTTCTTGCTCCGTGCCAGCTGTGTTGAATTCTTAATGTCTGGTTTAGAGGGAAGTAATTTAAGCCACAAGCATATCTGAGTCTTCAAACCCAATATGGCCATAGAACAGGCAGCAATTGAGATCCTCCTATCAGATTACCTAGGTCAAGGGTCATCAAGAGAGATGGCCAATATCCAGGTGTTCCTTGTTCCCAGGAGTGCACCTTGAGTAATCTAGTTCCTGCCCCAGGTTGGGCAACAGCCATGGCAGCAAAGATACAGAACCCCAGAAGCTCTGTCTTTCTGCAAGTACCAGCCTTAACAGCTGGCTCAGTATTCTTAAAGAGAATTAGTCAAGAATTAGAAATGTTCTGCAATTTCCATTTTTAAAAAAAAATTGTGGACCAGGGAGATGGTTCATCGTACCTACACAGGCCCAATGGCCTAAATTCAGACCCCAGAACATAAAAAGCAACTGGTGTTGGTGTGCAACTGAAATCCCAGCACCTCTACAGCAAGGTGGGAGGTGGAGCTAGGAGAATCATCTGGAAGCCGGCTAAAGGGTCAGCTAGCCCAGAGTATGCACAGCCACAGGAGAAACGAGAGCAAGCCTGCCTCAGTGAGGTGGAAGGTGAGAACTGAGTCCTGAAATCCGTAAATAAATAAGTTCTAAGCACACAGACAATTAAATAAAGTTTTAAAAGGTTTTTCAAGTCAGGGATAATACACACCTGTAATTGCAGCACACTGGAAGCTGAGGCATGAGATTTGTAAATTTGAGGTTAGTCTGAACTACATAGTGAGACCCTGTCTTAAAAGAAAAAAAAAGTTATAGGAAGGATTATATAAATTCTTACTACTTTGATCAAGAAACAAACTCTGTCCCAGAGACTCCGTTGGTCATTTTTTGTCTCATCAGCTAGAGTTAGTCACACGTGCACTCCTAAGTCCAATCCCTGACAGAGATGCGGATTTCACTTAGCACTGTGAGGTTCATTCGTTGGGGCCAAGGGAGAGCGCCCTTCCCTTACCTCATTGCTGCTCCCCCTGGACAATAATGGGCATGGGAAATAGACATGGCTGTCTGCAGTGCAGAAGAATCAAACAGCAGAGGCAACTGCTTTAAGTAGCAACCCTGGCTCTTCATGCAACAGTGCAAAGAACATTTCCCCCTATCTTACCAAGTAGATACAACCTTGAATGAGAAGCAAAAGTCTTCTCTGGGTTCCTGTTTGTTGCAAGAATCCCAGGCATCGACCTGACCATCAACTCTGAGAACAATATAAATAAATAAATAAATAAATAAATAAATAAATAAATAAATAAATAAATCAGTAGTAACAGAAAGCTGGTTCCTCGGGCAGGCTGAAAGCCACAAACTTAAATTCTTTATTATTTTTCCCCCAGAAAATTTCAGGTTTGAAAAATTGTAAAAGAGCACAAAAGAGGGAAAAGGAACTTTTAAATTCCAAGAAACACAGAAACACAAACAATAGAAAGAACAAAGCAAACGTAATAAAGGTTGCAGAGGGCTCTGAAGCGGCAGGCATGATCACAGCTGCATTATCATGGCTAATGACTGTGAACCATCAAATTCTCTCTGGTTATGAGAGGCAGAAATGAAGGCAGAAGGAACCCCTGTGGGGCTTGAAGTGGTGGTTTGTGTGTAATGCTGGGATTCATTCTCATTTGAACAGAAATAGGTATGTGTGTGGTGTGCCATCTTAATAATACAAAACCCATTAAACTAAGCATGGTGGTCTGTGCTTATAATCCCAACTCTGGGGAAGTAGAGGCAGGAGGACCACTTTACGATTGAGGCTAACCAGCACCGCACAGAGACTGTCTCAAAAGAATAACTTCGGGGTTAGAGAGATGACTCTCTAAGAGCTGTGGCTGCTCTTCCAGGGTTCACTTCCCAGCACCCACATGACAGTGTGGCACAAATTCTAATTGGTCTTAATAAATAAAAACTGGAGTCAGATATTAGGGGGTGAAAGGTGAAAGATCAGAGAAGCAGTGCAGCGAGCCACTAGAGAGACCTTTTACCTCTACCAATGCTCAGCCTGAAGGGGCGATCCTGCCTCTACTAATCCTCAGACTGCATGGAAGCTCTTGTCTCAATCCGCCTTCTATTCCTCTCTCTGCCCAGCCGTATCCCTTCCTGTCTCCACCTCCCTAGAGCTGGGATTAAAAGTGTGAGCCACCGCCACATGGCTCTGTTTTTCTTTTAGGCTGGGTCACTTTCAGTAACCCTGGGTGGCCTCGAACTCACAGAGGTCCGTCCGCCTCTGCCTCCCAAGTGCTGGGATTAAAGCACTGCCTGGCCTCTATGGCTAATTAGTGGTTTAACTCTGCACTCTGATCTTCGGGCAAGCTTTATTTGTTAGATTACAAACAAAATATCACTACCTGGCAGTTTACAACTGTCCGTAACTCCAGTTCCAAGAGATCCCACATCCTGATGCCACACCCCCACACAAACACATGTGCAAATAAATTGTCTTTTAAAAAATTTATTTCTCCTTCTCTCACCAAATAAACAAATACCTACTGGACATGGTTTTGAAAAAACGGCCAGCTTCAGCTTGAGGAGAGCCCTTAGTCTTGAACTGCCAGAGAGGCAGTGGTGCAAACAACAGAGGTGTTGGTGTTCAAGCCCGGCCTCAACCACAAGCCCAGCCCGTGTCACTCCCCTGTGAACTTCACTGACTTCTCCCTATTCTCAGTTCTCCAGTGTTTGGTTACAAATAGAAACCACCTCTCGGGCTGGAGAGATGGCTCAGAGGTTAAGAGCACTGACTACTCTACCAAAGGTCCTGAGTTCAATTCCCAGCAACCACATGGTGGCTCACAACCATCTATAATGAGATCTGGTGCCCTCTTCTAGCATACAAACATACATGGAAGGAATGTTGTATACATAATAAATAAATAAATCTAAAAAAAAAAAAAGAAACCACCTCTCCTAGCTTGTTGTCTGTGTTTAGTTTGTCACAGATATACAGGGTACCACTGATACAGGGTACCACAGACACAGGGTACCACTGATACAGGATACCACTGGTACATGGTACTACTGATACAGGGTACTACTAATATAGGGTACCACTTGTACAGGGTGTCAGTGATACAAATTACTAGCCACTGATATAGGGTACTACTGATACAGTGTACCACTGATATAGGGTACCACTGACTGGCACAGGGTACTAGCTTGAAGTTTGTTTACAAAGTTTTGTCCCCAAACTAGCAATAACATACAAATTCTAGAACTCTAACCCAGACATGATGCATCAGAGACCCAAAGAGGACCAGCGTTCAGAGTTTTAACAGATCCTCCTGGGAGTCTCATGTCTCCTCTTACCTGGAAATCACTGAGGAAGAGCAAGGGCTGGATCTGGTGGCCCCGGTGTGAAACTGGTTCATTATTTCTTGCATGTGTGATCTTGAACAATTTAAGAGCCTTCTTTGTGCCTCAGTTTCCTCACATTTCACAAGGATATCAGTCCCATCCATCTTTGAGGGCTGTTGTGAGGATCAGTTTAACTGTTACTTGTCAGGGGCTTCACAAAATCAAGCCCTAAGCAGTCTGATGCTGACCGTGAATAAGGACTAATGTTCACTTCCTGCTTTCTGTTTTTTTTTTTTGGGGGGGGTTGTTTGTTTGTTTCTTTGGTTTTTGTTTTTCGAGACAGGGTTTCTCTGTTTAAGAACCCTAGCTGTCCAGGAGCTAGCTCTGTAGACCAGGCTGGCCTTGAACTCAGAGATCCTCCGGCCTCTGCCTCCTGAGTGCTGGACTTAAAAGGTGTGCACCACCCACCTCCCACCTCCCAGTTCCTGGACTAAGGTAAAGGCACCACCCACCTCCTGGCCACATCCTGGTTCCTGGACTAGGCTAAGGGGGAGGGGGGGGGTGAATAAGTTGTTCGTAGTGACAAGCTGTGTGTGACCAGGCCGTGCCTGAGGAGGCAGAAGAGAGAAGAAAAAGAAGAACTTGCACTTTCTACCAGTGAGCTCCAGGGATCTCCCCTGTCTCCACACCCCCAACCTGAGCTGAGGTGACAAGCACAGTTCTCCACACCCTATTTTTATGTGCTGGGATTCAGGTCCTCACACTACATAGCAACTATTGTACCTTCATGCCACACCTTCAGCCCCAACTCTGCGACTCTTGATTTCAGGACAATGCTTCTTTATCTAAGTCTCTGCCAAAGATTTGTCCTGGAGGCCTCGGCCTTTTACTTCCTGATTTAAGGAACTTGTTTTTCACTGAAGACCAGATTTCTAACCAGTCCGACTTTGAACGCTTTAAGTAGCCAAAGACGGTCTTGAACTTGTGACCCTCAAGCCTCTGCCTCTGGAGTGCTAGGATCACAGGTCTGTGCTAGCACACCTGGCTTACAATATCTGAGGATTTGAACCCAGGATCTCGTGTAGGCTAGGTAAGTACTCTACCAAGTGAGATGAATTCCAACCAGAGAAACTTCTCATTTATTTGCATTTGTATTTTCTAATATATAATGGCTGCGTTCCCTTGAGAAGCCATCGCAAAGCTCTAGTGATGTTCAAAGCCTTTGTATCTAGTTTTTCTAGTTTTTTTCTTTATTTGTCTGCAAATACATTGCATCTTTATCAGGAAAAGTAAAACTCATGACCCTGGGCTGGAGATGTGGAGCACCCCCTGTTTAAGAAAACAAAAAGGTGGTGTTTTATCCTCTGTGAAGGAACAGCTGCCTGTGGAGGGAGCTGGGCGGGTGCTATGAGGCTATGGGTGGTGTGTCTTCCTTCCAATAAGCCACCTGATAGCATGTGGGCATTAATACACCAACAGCAAATTAGACCTGAGATGTGGGGCCCCCAAAAGCAGACCAGCTTGTTGAGGTTCCATGACCTAAGGTCCATCTACTCCACCCATGGCTCCTAGAGCCTTCTGAGGCCATTTAGATTGTTCGCATGGGGTCCCTATTCCCTATGGGGTTAGAGAAGTCAATGACCTGGGGCCAGACCCACCCAGAGGATCTTCAAAGTCCTGTTTTGTTTGTGACTTGTGCCATTACTCCCTTCCCTCTTCTCCCTTCAGCCTCTCCCATACCCCTCATGACTCCCTTTCAAACTGGTGGCCTCTTCTTTTTTCAGTGTATTTTTTTTATTATTTTATGTGTATGAGTGTTTTGTCTGCATGTGTGTCTGTATACCACATTCATGCTTGGTGCCTGAGGAGGTGGTGAGCCTCCGTGTGGGTGCTGGGAATCGAACCTGGGTCTTGAGAAACAACAGGCGCTCTTAACCACTGCGCCAACTCTCCAGCCCCTCTTTTTCTTTATTATTGATACATATACACACATATATACTTACAAACACACGCACATACACACACACACACACACACACACACCCTGCTAAGTTTGTTCAGTATTTCTCGTATGTATATATTTTCAGGGTGGACCACTGGGTAGTATTGGAGAACCAATTTACGAACCCATCCCTGGGGAGACAGATTCTCCCTCTCTTGGCAGTCGTTAATTGCCTGCAGCTCTTCTTTGGGCTGTGGATGTCCCTAAAATTCCCCCTTCCGCATTAGCACGCCTATTGGTGCTCCCAGCATGGTTCAGGTCTTGTTTAGCAGCTGTATTGTCAAGAATGCATGGGTCATTTCATCCCTGTCATTTCTAGGATACTTCCTGTTCCTGCTCCTCATACAGGTTCTCATTAGTTCTGAAACTCACTCTGAAGACCTTGCTGGCCTCAAACTTGTAACAGTCTTCCTATCGCTGTCTCCTGAATTCTAAGATACAGGCATAAATCACCGTGTCCGGTTAAAGTATGGTGGGCAGGCATTTCCCCCAGTGCTCACGCATGGGAAGTGAATGCTCCTCCATTCTTCCATTGACCTGTATTCTCAGCAGTGCGAGAGACAACCCACAGTTTTGGACATGCTAATCAAGTGCTCTACTGCTGAGCTATACTCCTAGCACCTCCGCGAGTTTGTTTTCAATGACTAAAAAGACATTCACCTGGGCTGGAAAGATGGCTCAGCAGTTAAGAGCACTGGCTACTCTTCCAGAGGTTCTGAGTTCAATTCCCAGCAACCACAGACTGCTCACAACCATTTGTAGTGAGATCTGGTGCCCTCTTCTGGCCTGTAGGCAGACATACAGGCAGGCATACACTGTATACATAAAAAAATAAATAAATTTTTATTTTATTTTTTAAAAAAAGACACTCACTTTCTAGTTTCTTCTTGAGCTCTAGAAATGCTCTTTCTGTCCAACTAAATTCCTTTAACAATAGCAACTACAAAACAACATTTATATTGAATTCGTGGCTATTAGTAATCCGGAGATGATTTTAAATACACATGAGACTGGGCATAGTCATGCACATCTGGAATCCCAGCCTTTGGGAGGTAGAAACAGGACATAGAAACAATCAGGCTTCAAGGCCACACTTGGCTACAAGAGATTGTATCTTCATATAGAAAGAAACCTTGACCTGCTTTGAAACATGATCTTTAAACCAAACATTCTGACAAATGTTTATATAGTCCTTCACTTGGGAGCCGAGACAGAAGGATCTCAAATTTGAGGCCAGCCTGGGCTACACAGTGAGTTCCAGGTGATGCTGGGTTACATAGCAAGACTATCTCCACAAAGCAAGACAACAGAGGCCCAGAAAATCAAACAGTCAGGACCCTTTCTCACGAATCTCTTAGGAGCTTTAGTAGTTTTACAGTCAATAGCAGAGTTAGGACTGAGTCCCCACGAACATGAGGTGCCAAGAGGCCATCTTATGTACCACTACACTACTCTGATGCATGTGGGTTTCAGTCAAGGTACATGCTAGCCTTCTAAAAGACATTGGTTTCTCCTGCTGCTGGTAAGATTGCGCCTGTATCAGCCAGGTAGCTGTTGTTGGCCAGTCATTATAGAAGGGGAATTTATTTAAAGATTGCTCTCAGAACCAGTAAAAAACATAGAAACCAGGCAGGGCCGTGGTGGCGCACTCCTTTAGTCCCAGAACTCGGGGGGCAGAGGCAGATGAATCTCTGTGAGTTCAAGGCCAGCTGTTCTACAAGAGTTAGTTCCAAGATAGGCCCTGTCTTGAACCCCCTCCCCCAAAAGAAAGATAGAAGCAAAGAAGGGTGGCAGACAAAATGTGTCCACCATCACCAACCATAACCGCAATTTTTGTTCACTGCTTATTTTTTATTTATTTATTTTTATTTTTTATGTTTTTTTAAAAATATGTATTTATTTATTATATATACAATATTTTGTCTGTGTGTATGCCTGCAGGCCAGAAGAGGGCACCAGACCCCATTACAGATGGTTGTGAGCCACCATGCGGTTGCTGGGAATTGAACTCAGGACCTTTGGAAGAGCAGACAATGCTCTTAACCTCTGAACCATCTCTCCAGCCCGTATGTTTTTTTGTTGTTGTTTTTACTTTGTTTTTCGAGACAGGGTTTCTCTGTAGCTTTGAAGCCTGTCCTGGAGCTAGCTCTTGTAGACAAGGCTCGCCTTGAACTCACCGAGATCTGTCTGCCTCTGCCCCCCGAGTGCTGGGACTAAAGGCATGCACCACCATCGCCCAGCCTTATTTTTTATTTTTGACAGAGGATCTTGCTGTGTAGCCCAGGCCAGTGATAGAACACTCCAGACTCACATGATTTCTGTCATTTTAAATGGCTCAGAATCATGGGAGGTGATGTCCTAAAAACCTGCGTGGTCTCCTTATCAGCCAAAGAGAAGATGAAGGATGAAGCTTTTTACCTTTTAGCTTCTGAATTGTTTATATGTTGGAAGATAAATGGGAGATATGTGTGTAAGAGCAGGGTCTCCAACTCAATCTTGAAATTCTAATGCAGAAAGAGTGACCATACTCAAGTTAGGAAGGGATTTAGCTCATGGCCAACTTCTCCAGTTGGGGCCTTTGCTTTGCCCTCCTCCCATTTCTCTCGGGTTAGGGTCAGGCCTGCCCGAGTCCCGGCATGCTTCAGTGTCTAGGCAGGTGCATCTGGTCCCTTCTGGTGCCTGGAGTGCTGCCATCCATTGCTCAACTTCAACCTCTTGTTTGTACGCTTGGCCTCCATTCTCAAGGTTTCTCCTGGCGGAAGTTCTTGGAGTCAAATTCCCTTTCATTTCACAAATCACCCCAGGACTAGCTAAACCAATCGGAGCTCTTGAGGCTTGGATAGAAATGACTTTTGCTTTTTCTCCCTGCTGGACTGGTCTCTCTGAAGGTCTCCTTCCTAGTCCCTTGCTGTAGGGAGGGGGTTTGATAGGAGGAGCTGGGGGTGTCAGATTCATCATCTGGGAGCACAGGCAAAAATCTGCCTTCATGACCTCCTGGGCCTTTATCTAGAAGGAGGAAGGGTATATCAGCTAAGATTTCCCCAGCTGCTGAACCCCAGTAATTAAGATTTTAATTCCATTCTGATTCTTGGTCCCATGACAGTCCAGTTCCTGGTTCTGGTCTGCCTTACTCTACCCCTTTTGTTCATTCAAACATTCAAAAACCAAACATACTAGTGAGGGAATTAAAGGAAGAATGGAATTTTCCACTCAACACACATACTGCCTTAAATCACCCAGTCCAAAGTCAGACTTTCCAAGCTCCAGAAGAACCCAGTAGAGGGACTGGACACCCAGCATTGAATACCCACCCTACAGGGGGTAGTCAAGGGTTCTTGCCATTTTGGTATAAACCCAGATGGTCCTGTCACCCACGAGCCTTTCTGGCTGCGTGGGCGGCAGTGCCTTTGTTCCCACGCTTACCTAGAAGGAGGAAAAGGGCCATACAAAGCCATCTTTTGTTTAATCTTATACACCAAAGGTGCCTCTCACAAGTTTTTCAGCTTTGCTTTCCTTAGGTTGTTTTGTTTCTTTGGGGCTTTTGTTTTTAAGATGGGGCTCATAAAAATGGGCACAATTTATCCCTAACTTGCCAAGTGGAAGCCTCTATGCTAGGCTTGTGCAATCTCCCATCTCACCTGACCCGGGAGGGAGGCGCTGATGCTCTCTTTCCACAGAGAAGGAAATGGAGGCTTGAAAAGACCTATTGGCCTTTTCCTTTCCTCTTCTTGTTCTTTTCTTTTGTGGTTTTTCGAGATAGAGTTTCTCTGTGTAACAGCCCTGGTTGTACTGGAACTAGCTCTGTAGACCAGGCTGGCCTCAAACTCACAGAGATCCGCCTGCCTCTGCCTCTCAGGTGCTGGGATTAAAGGCGTGCGCCACCACTGCCTGGCCTATTGGCTTTTTTCTTAAGCAATCTTTCTGACAGGCTCTAGAAATGACAAGCAGCCCCCTGAAGGCCCAGCCCCCTCTTCCCGGGGACCCTACGACTTCCACAGCTTTTATATTACTGGAGGTGGAAGCATATTCACAGGGGTTGAATCGGCTTCTCCCTAGAAGTGCACAGAGCTGCAGAGTGTCGGCAGCCTTGCCAAGAAGGGGTTGGAGATACGGAGAAGCCAGGGACTCCTCGATACTGTACTGTTGGCCGTGCAGACCACAAACCAAGTGTGGCCCCGAGGAATGCAGGCTCATGAGCTGTTGACCACAGGCGCACACCAGACTCCAGAAAAAAAAGGCTCTGTTGTCGTCTCTGCCCTTCTTGGGGGAAGACCAGGAGTAGGAAATGGAAGAGATTTGCAGAGTCCCCGGATTTCATCCCTTCGTCTCTGGTATGGCTTCTGTCCCCCGTCCTTTTCCCGTGTATGATGGATTGCGCCCATGCTCACTCTCAGAATTCTCAAACTGCTCTGCGTTCCTTCTTTCTTTTCCTCTTTTTGTGTTGAGATGGGCCGGGGGCGTGTCTCACAACGTAGGTCTGTAACTCATCACGGAAAAGAACACACCGGCTTTGAATGTGAAGCAGTCCTTACACTTCAGCCTCCCAAGTGCTGGGGTTACAGGCCAGAGTCATCATACCCAGCTCGGCTTCCGGTGAACCAAGTTTCCTTTTTCTCCCCCGAGTTGAAGAATAGGGAGTGATTAGTTTTTGTCCTTATGAAGCTAAGTTCCTTCTTTTCTCTTCTCTTAAAAATAAAGAAGTGACCTTGATCACTGTTGAGCATACGAACTGCACATGGGGTGATAGGTGGGGGAGTAGTGTGTGTGTGTGTGTGTGAGTGTGCGTGTGTGTGTGCACATGTGTGTTTCTTTTCTCTGTATTGGCCAGGTGACCAGTCTTTTGAAGGGAAGAGGTGACCAGAACGGCTGATGAAGAGCACCAAGAGAAAGTTAGTATTCAATTCTGGGCATCAAAGACAAGGTTTCAGAGTAAGACGCCAACCTGAACCCTAGATTTGAAACAGGAGGTAAGATTTTTATGAATCTCTTTAGCTCCTCCTTGGTTCGGACCATAGACCAGCTCCCATAGATAGAGAGGATAATTGTGTTTATGGTTTAGGTGGAGAGCGTAGGGTCAGGAATAAGGAAGCTACGAATCCCAGGAAGTAACTAGGTCTGCTGCCTCTTCTGGAGACTGTGCAGGGTGGGGGTGAGGAGGGGAAGGCTGTACAGCAGGGAGGGAGGCTGAGTTAGCAAGTGAGGCGAAGGCCCTGATGTCCCTTTGAAAACGTGTCCCCACAAAGCCAGGATTCTTCCCCACTCCCCGTGTGGGACTCTGGGGGAACACTGGTAGTAGATTGTGGTCTGGAACAGGAGGAGAGAGCAGTCCAACATGTAACAGACAAATCCCATGCCAGGCATAGGCCTACACTATGGCCCTATTTGAGGGCCAACCAGCCGGCCCTGGGGCCCACGGCACTGGATGGCAGAAGAACGGAGGAGCCCTGCTAGGTTCATCACTCCAGGAAGAGCTGAGGGTGAGGAAGTAGGGTTTAATCCTAAAAAAGGGGGGGGGGGCGGGCAGGTCCAGGAGTGCACTGGGAGCAAACTGAAGTAGGTGACAACCATTCCAAACTGTAGGGGCAAGTGCTCATCTAAGGATTCGCAAGTGAGCTCAGCCACCTTCTTGTATGGCATAGGGTGGAGCACTCAGTACCAACAACCCCGAGAAGAACAAATGGACCAATAAGACTGCTGTATAGGGCTAGGGTGCTGAGCGCTGATCTGCATTTATCCCTGTGCGCGTGTCGGCTGTGCGGAGAGAATAGTTAAGCCTGGCGTTCTATGTTTCTTTTTTCAAAGGTTTCTGTTTATTGGTGGGAGTGGGGTCACGACACAGCACGCATGCAGAGGTCAGAGGGCGACCTGCAGGATTCAGAGCTCTCCTTCTATCATGTGGGTGCCAGGGATCAAACTCTGGTCACCGGCTATGTTGCAAGGTGCCTTTGCCTGCTGAGTCATTAGCTGGCCCCGTCACCCCACATCTCAGTAAAAGAAAATCAGCTCCCCCTTTTTTGATTTTTGTCTTCTCCTTGTGTGTGTGTATGTGTGTGCACGCGCCCGTGTGTGCAGGTGCACGTGGAGGCCATAGGTCATCCCTGAGTGTTGTTCTTCAGGAAACTGTCCACCCTGGCTCTCTTGTTGTTCATGGTAGCGACTGTGGTTTTGAGATGGGGTCTCACGTGCAGGCCTACCTGGTCTGGAACTTGCTATGTCGACCAGGCTGGCCTCAGTGAACAGAGATCTACCTGCCTCTGTCTCCAGGGTGCTGGGATTACATCTGCCCTGTTTTTTAAAAAAAGGTCTCTTAGTGACTTGGTGTAGGGTGCTGGCCAGCATACCTCAAGGATCCATATGCCTCTACCTTCCAGTACTTGGGATTACAGGCAATCACTGTCATTCCTGTTTTATGCAGGTTCTGGGGATTGAACCGGGGTCCTCATGATTGCCCAGGAGGCATTTTACCAACTGAACTACCTCCCCAGACCCAACCAGCCTTTCCTACATCCGGCCAGTGATTTCCATTCTCTTAACTTTTCTTTTTTTTTTATATTCTTGGTTCTGGCTGCCAGCATAGGTAGCTCCTGGGGTTCTACGCCCCTTTGGAACTTGAGAGTTTCTCTTCTTTCTCCTCTCCCAGCAACAACAAACACAGAAAGGCGGGAAAGCTCGATGCCATTGTGCTGAAGGTGAGGAGTGGAATTTCTTGCACACGTGAATAAAGAAGTGTAATCTTGAGCATTTATTACAGGACAAGCTATATGGAGAAAATGCTGGGAAGCTGGTCATTTAGTAGAGACATTCCAGCTGGGAAGGGGACCCAACCCCCAGGAATTACCATCTGAAAGCCTGGGGTCTTAGGCCTTTCTTGATGAGCAATGAGTTTTCCTAGATGCAAAGCAGTTTCTTGATTGGCATAAAAAAATTACTATGGGAAATTGTGGTGTACGCAAAAAAGACAAGCTCCAAAAAAGTCATACATCATGGAAAATGAGCCCTACATATAATCCTAACTTTTCCATTAAAAATATGTTTTGCAGCCAGGTGGTGGTAATGCACGTCTTTAATCCCAGTACTCAGGAGGCAGAGGCAGCTGAATCTGTGTGCGCTCAAGGCCAGCCTGGTCTACAGAGAGAGTTCCGGGACAGCCAGGGCTACATAGTAAGACCCTGTCTCAAAAACAAAAGAAAAGAAAAGAAAGGAAAAAGAAAAGAAAAGAAAGGAGAAGTTCTGGCAATGAGTCAGCCCCAAGTGTTTCCTAGCTGCCCCAGGACCCAGGTCAGACAGAGTCTCCTCAGGCTTTTGACTAAGGTCTAGCATACTGTCTGCATGGTATTCGGTCCATGTGTCGTTACTGAGTTAGGGACATTGGGACACGCGGAGAATTATTCCCACCAGCTTTCAATCTCCCCCTCATCTCCTCCAGCCAGGATACCCAAGTGCCATTCTTAATCTCTTGCTTTAGAACAACCGTTTACAGGGCCCCCTCCCTTTTTAAAAAGAGGCCTTTGTCTCATGCAGCCAGAGTTCAGGGAAAAAAAAATCTTCTGAAAGTGGGGATCTGCCTCATCTCCCCAGTCCTGTCTGCTTGGGGCTCGGATCCCAGGAACTGCTGCTGGGACCTTCTGTAAACCCTCACCTCAATTCCCTTTACCACACCCAGGCTTGCCGCCCAGGACCCAACCTTCTTTTCTAATCCTGTGCCCCTTGTCCCACAGCTTTGGAACTCAGTTCAAGGGGAGGGAGCGAATGAGCCGCCTCAACTGCCAAAGGTCTTCACTATCTGAGCATTGCAAAAGCAAATGGCCTAATCTCTGTGTAGATAGGCAAGGCCGGAGGGAGGCAGAGAATCTTGTTCGCCAGAGAAAAACAGAATGAGAGAACCAGATAGATGCCTCCAAGATCATCTGACCCAAGGTACACAGAGAAGGAAGCTTAGACCCAGAGAGGTGAAACAGCTTGTCCAAGGTCACAAAGACCTGTGTAATACCTGCACTTGGTTACTCAACTATTAAATAATTAGGCTACCATGCTACCTAGTGTTAGGCAACACTTTTGCTGTATGATTCTCCTCACAACAATCTTGCAGGAGAGCTACCATAATCTTTGATTCACAGATAAGAAATAGAAGCCGGGTGAGTTGTCCAGGTACCCCCTGGGTAAGCAGGAAGCCAGGTTTCCAACACACTCTTAGCTACCCCTCCTGTAACCATGAGCTGTGAGCAGACTGCACCGCTTGTGTCTCAAACATGATTGGCCGGTGGTAATTGGTGTTTCATAAGTGACCAGTACCCTAGGGGTGAGGGGGTGGAGATGGGAGAACGACACCTGGGCTCCCCAGGGCAAGAGGATTATGTTGCTAGACTCATCTTTCCACAGACCTCTCCAAGGGGCCTGGGAAATGTTGACAGACCAGTTGAGGTTGGATCGGGTGCCAGGCACACGGTGCGTTTACTTCCTGCTTCACCATATCGCTGGCATTTTGTGATGGAGAACACGGAAGACTCAAGAGGATGTGAGCATTCTCACAAAACGGTGTGAGCTCTGAGGAGCAGGGACAGGGGTCACTTTTCTCTGCTCCTTCCCTCTACCTGATGTCCGCCGTTTCCTTCCTTCTCCTCCTGGTGTCCGTCAACCCGGTCCTTCACCGCAGAGCCTTTGCCAGACCCTCCTTCCCTCTGTCCCATTAAATGTTCTTTTCAGCAGACAGCGCCCTGCCCCAGAGGCTGCCTGAGAAGGTGACTCATGTGTGGTGCTCACAGGTTGAAACCTTTACTCCCTTTAGGTAACACGGTTGACATTTAAAGGTCAAACCGTCACGTTTCCAAGCGAGGAAGGGGGTTACACTAAACCAGGCTCGTGTCCCTGTTTCTAGGGTTGCAGGAATACTCTGCACTCCTTGCACGGCCCCCGAGGAGTGAGGCTTACAGAGTTCTGCCCATGCAAAGTATATAAGCGAAACTTATTTGCATCTAGTCCTCAAACAAATGCCATACCTGCCGGACATTGGATAACTCCCAATCACCCCTCCTGCCCCAACACGGAAAGACTGAAGTCATGATTAAAGCAATAGAGCTTTAAAGCTGAGTGCGGGTGGGGTGAGGACACATGACTTGAAAGTTTCCAGGTTCTTCTGTTCCACCACAAAAGTTGTACCAGACTCACAGGAAACGTACTAGAAACCGTTGATAAAGGCAAAGCGGTCTGAGGATGGGAGTGGGCTAGCGCTAGCGAGCTCTAAACCAACTGCACTCCAAGAGACCCCCCCTCCCCAGGAGGCGTCTGGTTCTTGCTAGGTCATTTGCATAGGACCCGCCTCTCCCTCTTTTGTGTACAGGGGCTTTTCTCAAGCACTCTCTGCTTGTTATGTGCCAAATGGCTTCTTCTATATGTTGATTTTTTTCTTTCCTTTATAAAAAAACACGTGTGTGTGTGTGTGTGTGTGTGTGTGTGTGTAGGAGCTGGTTCTTTCCACCAACCCCATGGATTCTAGGGATTGAATCAAGTACTTTTACCCACTGAGACATCTTGCTAGCAGCTGAAGTTAATGGTGATCCCCAGTCCCTACGCTCCGACCACTGTGGCAAAGGAATAACCATGAACTAGCATTTTTGAGCACCCGTCCTGCATGAGATTCTATGCCCTTCTCTCCAGTCTTTATAAGCCCCTGGAGAGATGACGATCACCGCTCCATTCATTCTGCCGGTGAAGAAACCGAGTCCATGACATGCCTGAGTTCTCACCCCAAGACATCTGAGACAGGTCCATCTGCCCCACTGCCCAGTCTCTTCCTTTGTCACAAGCCCAGCTCCCGGTACGCCACTGGCCCATGCTGCTTGGTGACAAATGGCTGTTGAACTTCCAGAAATCATCAGATTAGTTCATAAACATATCAGTGATTAAAATTCAAGCTATAAGGGACAGGGAGCTGGATGGCTCAGTGGGTAAGAGTGTTTGTTGCTATTGCAGAGGATGGGAGCTGTGTTCTCATTCTCCATGTTGATAAACCCCAGTTCCAGTGGATCCGACACCCTCTTCCGGCCTCTGAGACCATATGTCCACACACATAGACAACACACACACATAAATCAAAATAAATCTTTAAAAAGTTATATACTTTAATATTCAATAACATTTAATTTTCATTAATATTTTTATTAATTTCATTAATGTTTAATAAAAATTTCCAATGTTCTATTCTTGCCCTACTTGGGAGGCAGAGACAGGTGGGAGAGTTCGAGGTCAGCCTGGTCCAGGACAGCCAGGACAGCCAGGACTGTTCTTTCAGAAAACCAAAAAAGAAAAAGAAAAGGCCGGGTGATGGTAGCGCACGCCTTTAATCCCAGCACTCGGGAGGCAGAGGCAGGTGGATCTCTGTGAGTTCGAGACCAGCCTGGTCTACAGAGCTAGTTCCAGGACAGGCTCCAAAGCCANAAAAAAAAAAAAAAAAGAAAAAGAAAAGAAAAGAATGAAAGAAAAATGCTAAAGGACCAGGACCAGGGCTCACCTCTGGGAAGGCTAAAGCTATTGCTCTAAGCCATTGTTTCCATTCACAGACACCTGACTTTTGACCTTGAGTCATTTTCTAGACATTTTATATATGTAGCAGATCCTTAGGACTGGGCAATGGGCAGGGCCGGAGCTGTAGTTCAGTCAGTGATTGCTCCCTTGCTTAGCACGCACAAGGCTCTGGGCTCTACCCCTAAACCCAAGATAAGCAAAGAAAACCCATAGAGGAAGACTAATTTGATGGTCTCCAGACTTTTTTCCCTCCCAAAAGTAAGCTGTTTTTGTCAAATGTCAGGCGGCAGCATATATGTGAAATGGTGGAGGGCAAAACTGGCCACATCTTCCTCTCTGAGGTGCTGAGGCTAGAACTCACCGCCTCATGCCTGCTAGACAAGAGCTGTACACTCACCTCAAGCAAAATAAACAAAACCAACGAAGAGCAATTTCCCGGTACAAAGGACCAGTAAATAGTTAAACACAATTGCTTTCTGGCTACTCTGACTCGCACAGTCTGTCACCTTTACCTCTAACCACTGGTGTCCTCCAGCGTTCTGTCCTTGCCCACACCCTCCACCACTGTGCACGCGCTTCCTGTCCAGTCCCTTTCATGCCACACCCTCACCCGCTGAATATATATGTGCAGATAAGTGCGGGGGGGGGGTACTTTCTCTCTGTATATATATTTGTATATATACACACATATATACATATACATATATATGTGTGTATATATACACATATGTATGTATATATATGTATATATATATAGAGAGAGAGAGAGACAGAGACAGAGAGAGAGACAGAGAGAGAGAGAGAGGTGGTTTCTCTAAGAGGCCTACAAACAGCACCCCATTTCCCTTTCAGGTAAGCTGAAAAATGAAAAGAGAGCTGGAAATGGACACAAAAAACTACAGAAACCAGATTCATTCCTTGACTTTAAGAGCGGACAATTCAAAACTCAAGCCTACGACTGCATTTATAACCACACCAGGAAGAGCACAGTGCTCAGACCGGACCTAATAAACAGTGCTGACCCGAAGACCTGAGTCTCAATGGCACTTAGTACTGGCCGGGCGCTGGCGGGGTGCAAGACTTGGCTTTGCTAAGCAGAGTAGCAAGCCCCACCGATGTGGTCTACAGATAGAGTGCACTCAGGACGACCTTAACAACCTTCCTTTCCTTCAGCCATGGGAAAGCTAATCCTAAAATCCATACGGACCTGCAGTGCACGCCACACGGAAGAGTTCTGTAGAAGAACAGTCTTAGAGAACTCAGTCTTCCTGATTTCACAGTTTTGAGCTAAGCCGTGGTAGATCAAGACGGTGCTAAAAGCAAAGGCCGGTGAACAGAAAGAAGCCCGGTTCTGAGGTCACTCCCTTGGAGGAAAGGGGTGTTGGACCATTCCGGAGGGAAAGACTCATCTTCAATAAATGTGTTGAGGCAACTCTCTACGAGAAGGAAGCTGAGCCCTACTAGGGTCTGAGCTTGGCTTGCTGTCACTGCAGCTCACGCTGGAGTTTAATCCCCGCTGTTAGGTGTTATGAGGGTGGAAACTTAATCTCACTACATTGTAACAAAATGGAGCATTTGGGGATATGATCAGGATTAGATAAGACATTTAGGGTGAGCCCCCCACCCCATGACTGAATCCTGGTGGCTTTGTAAGAAAGACCAGAGGACAGACCTAGACATGTGGATTTCCTGTCATGTGTTGCCCTGAGCTGTGTCAGGACTCTGCCAGCAAGAAGGCTGTGGGGAGACTTGGACTCTTCATCACGGGCCAGAACTGTGAACCAAAATAAACCCCTTTATACTTCACCTGGTCTGTGATATTGTGTCATTAGCAACAAAAAACAGGCTAAGACAGGCACCAGTCTCACACCAGATGCAAAAGTCAGTTCAAATAGTGGCCCAGGGGTTGTCTTAGTCATTAGAGAAATGCAAACCAAACCCACAGTGAGATGCCACTATCTAGCCACTCAGAAGGCTGAATTCAGGGGAAGAATGAAAAAGGAAAGAAGAAAGACTGCCGCTTAGAAAAACAGATTGTCAGTTCCCTAGAAGCCAAACAGAATTTTCAGGACACCCTGCAAAATGCCCTCCAATAGAAATCAAAGTATGTGTTTCAGCTGGGCTGTGGTGGAGCACACCTTTAATCCCAGCACTCTGGGAGGTGAGGCAGGTGGATCTTTGAGCTCTTGACCAGCCTGCTCTACAGAGTGAGTTCCAGAACAGCCAGAGCTACACAGAGAAACCTTGTCTTGAAAACCAACCAACCAACCAACCAACCAACCAACCAACCAACCAACCAACCAACCAACCAACCAAGTGTTTAGACAAAAACTTGTACAGGAATATTGATAGCAACAATATTTACAAGAGTGGAAGGAATATAGATTTCTATCAACCATTGACTTGATAAACAAAACCTGCATATTACTCAGAGATAAAAATAAAAGAAGTTACTGACCTATGCAGCAGTACTGATGGATGGGAGCCTCTAGTAGGTGAGAGAATCTAGCCGTACCTGCCGTGCATTTAGTCTGTTTCTGTGACTGTCCTGATAGGCAAGTCTACAGAGACAAAGCACAGGGAAGCAGGCACCAGCAGCCACGGGTAAAGGATTTGGGAGTGAATGCTTAACATGTGTCTTAGTTAGGGTTACTTTTGCTGTGAAGAGACACCCTGACCACCTCACCTCTTATAAAGGAAAAGCGTGTTGTTAGGGTGGCTTCCAGTTTCAGCGGTTTAGTCTATTGTCACCATGGCAAAATATGGTGGTGTTCAGGCAGATGTGAGTTCTGTATTTTGATCTGAAGGCAACAGCAAGTGAACTGTGTATCACACTGAACATAGCTTGAGCAAAAAAGACCTCAAAGCCCACTCCCACAGTCACACACTCCCTCCTATAAGGCCACAAATATGCTAACAAAGCCACATCTCCTAATAGTACCACTCCTTTAAGGATCATTTTTCCCCCCCAAACCACCACAATGGATGTGGGTTTTTTTGAGAAAAAAAGATGGTGATGTTCTGGAAGTGTATGATGATGATTGTTATACACAAAAATAAATAAAAATGACTGAAAGCTGTGCTTTCAACAAAACAAAGCAGTAATATTTATGTTAATTTTACTTCAATAAAAATAAAGGTTAAAGAATGCTGTTTATCAGTTATGTAGATTGGAAGGGGTTGGAGGACAGTGATTGGTGTAACAGGAAAGAGAGCCCCAAGGATGGGCAAAGGCACTTCACTTTGTCACAAAAACACAGGCCCTGGGGAGACCTAGGAGGCAGAACAGAGGACAACCAACCCATTGTGAGGCTTCCTCTCAAGGGAACAGGGACATACATGACCAGCCAAGGATGGCCCGTGACAGGTTAATCTTCGCTGTCAATTTGACCACATTTATAGCCGAGTGGACGTCCACGACTAGGTACGTCAATAGTGGCATTTCCAGAAAGGATTAACTGAAGAGGGAAGACCTGCCCTAAGTGTGGACAATGTTACTATCAATAGGCCCTGGTCCTGGGCCAAATGCAAAGGAAACAGTGAGCCAGGGACTAGCATTTGTCTCTCTGCTTCTTGACTATAGACACTGTGTGACCAGCTGCCTCATGCCCTTGACACCACACCTTCAAGATCATGATGAACTGTGACCCAAAATAAGTCCTCCTTTCCTTAAGTGGTTTTGCTGGGACATTTTTGTCACAGCGATGGGAAAGGTAACCAATACATTTGGGTATCCCTAGGTCCACCAATCAGACATGAACCATTGGGAGTGAAAGGGAAAAGCAGCAGAGAGAGGCTTCAGGTCATAATTATTAAACTCCTTTCTTGGCCCATGAAACCAGTTCTTGCGGAAAGGATAGCATTGTCCCTCACCCCCTGGAAGATCAGAAGTAGGTACATGAGCCAGAACAAACCCTCTGGTCACAAGGCACTTACTTAGTGGAATTCCATTAACCTGTGTACCTAAGGAGGCCAAAAGGGCACCAGCTCCTCTGTAATTGAAGTTACTGTTGGTTATGATCTGCTACATGGGTAGTGGGAATCGAACCCAGGTCCTCTGGAAGAGCAGCCAATGCTCTTCATCATTGAACTATCTCTCCAACTTCTGGGTTTGTTGTTTCTTAATAAAAACAATTTAAGAAGCAAGGCCAGTGAGATTTCTTAGTCAGCAAAGTGCCTTGCCACCAAGTCTTGACTTGGGTTTGACCCACATGATGGAAAGAGTTGTCCTCTGACATATGCATGTGTAGACAGATACAGGCAGACAGACACACAAACACACACACACACACACACAAGAAATACATTTTTAAAGTTTAAAAATCGTTCCTATAAAATACTGTTGGATTTTGTGTGTAAGTATTAGTAAGCAATAAGTGTTCTGCTGGCATAGAAGTCACTGTGAACCAGGGATGATTGCTGGTGAGTGGTTACCTTAAGATTTTTAACATTATTTCTAAACATATGGGGGAAAAGGAGCAAGAAAAAGCAATGTTTCCAAGGGGGGCCTTGACTAAACCTCCTAATCCTGGGGCTAATCCTACTGAAAGGCTGGGAAATTATGCTAAATAGGTTATTTTTGTCCTTTTTTTCTTTTTTTTCAGAAAAAAGTCTGTTGTAAAAGCTGGACTATGTTTAGAATCAGGTTTCATCTCTAACATGTCTGTCTATGAGTGTGAGTGTGCATGTGTGTGTGCTTGTACACTGAGTCAGGATAGCACTTCATATATAATCGAGGAAGTGTCAAGCAGTCAGATTTGACCTGGGGTAGAGACGAGGTTGGTGAGGTGGGAATGAGAGCTTTGTCCCATGATACACTCAAGAGTTTGGAACAGAAGTTCCAGGAAGGAGAGGAAAAATCCCAGCCAAAGCAGACTGGCACGACCTTGTGTTATAATCCCAGAGCTCAACACGTCTCGACCCCTGCACCTCCAGTTCAGTCCTTTCAGGAACAATTAGGCTTCAGAGACACGTCCTTCCTGCCTCAGAATGACTAAGGCCTATTTAAGCCTCATGGTTGGTTAATCAGTAATGGAGATTTTTTGACAAACAAAGCAGGGCAAGCCAAGAAATGAGGGTGGCTAAAAATTAGCTCGGGAAGGTTGTGTTTCTTGCAAATACATGATCTGGTACTGCTTTCAAATATGGGCGTCTGTGTGTGCTGGAGGACTCAGAACAGACCTACTGGGGAAGCCTTTGCGTCTCGTGATTTGTCTTGGGACTCGCCTCCTCTTTCTGCCATGTTGAGGGACAGAGGCCCAGCAACACCTCTGCAAAGGCCTGCATTCCTGTGCCATGGTTGGGGTGGGGGTGGGGTGTGTGTGTCTAAGTGTGGTGGGGATGTCCTGGCAGATACAAGCGGCTGCCATTGACCCCAGAGAGGAGAGGATGGAAGATCCTAGAGGCTGGGATCTGGACCAGGTAGAGGATTCACCAAGCCTTGGCAATGCTTGAAGACTGTGGAGCAAGGCTGGGGTTGGCTGATGTTCTCCGGGGGGCCAGGAAGCATCAAACAGGGAGCAGTTAAAGACACACCTGCAGGTTGATTGACGTGGGTAAATCCTGTTTCCTAGTAGTTTTGGTGGGAAGGGTGCGCAGAGTGAGATGGGGATTTCACTACATTCCAAGCTGACTTCAAACTCACTGCTGACTGACCTTGGATTCTTAGCTACCCCTCTGCCTCATCCTCCAGAATACTGGGATTACAGACCTGCACCACCACGCCTGACCCAAGGTCCATCAGTTTTTGTTTTGTTGTTTTGCTTTATAAACCCCGAAGCAGAAGGAATGTCAGTGGACCCCAGCCTCCTTGCGACAGCTGCCAGATCACTTCCTCTTGCAGTGACTCCAGAACGAGGCTGCCCAATGGTTGGTTAGGGAAGGGGGCGGGCCTTACTACCTCTTCCTCCTCAGAAGCAACGCCCCTGAAGCTCCCAAGAACACAATTCACGAGGTGCTTCCTCAGCCCCTGCTCATCCTGCATATTGCCAGCACACTTGGCTTCCTGTCCAAGCCTGGGGGTGCAGATGCCCCTGCCTCAGAACACCGTCCCCTGCAGTGCTGGGAGGAGGCAGAGGGTCAGTTTTGTTGGCTCCTGCCTTTCCTTCTGCACTAACAGAGTTGGCACTCAATAAATATTTACTGCATAAATGATGAATAAAAAAATTCAAAGTTTGGGCTGGGGAATGTAACTCAGTGATGGAGTATTTTCACAGCATGTGTGCAGCCCTAGCCAAAAAGAAAAAAAGAAAGAAAAATCCCCAAAACACAACTCAGGCTTCAAATGGAAAGGTTTAAGGTGTTGCATGCAGAGGAATACATGTTCATCCTAGGGCTCAGACCTGTAAGGGGGTCTGTAACTCTAACTACTGGGGAGGCCGAGGCAAGGGGGTTGAGAATGCAAGACCTGTCTAGACTACCAAAAAAGTTCAAGGCCAGCCTGTGCAGACCAGAGACACAGTGAGAGCTGGGCTGTAATTCAGTGGTGGAGCCCTTGCTTAGTGTGTGAGGCCCTGGGTTCAATGTCCAGGGCTGGGGGTGGGGTATGTGTACGGGGTAGGAGTAGATGGGGGTCAAGGATGGACGCAGTCATATGAAAACATGCCTACAACATATCAGGCTTTTAAGATTTGTGAACTCATTATAACCTTAAGAGGTCAGGTGACCATTTTTTTTTTTCCCCCAAGATCAAGTGACTGGAAGATTTTGTTTTCTTCAAGGTCATATGACTGGTGAGAAGCAAAGCTGGGAGTTCCCCAGGCACTCTGAGATTAGAAACCCAAGCTGTTCAGAGGGACGCTCAGCCTGCTTGTGGAGGGAAGTGTCTGAATAATCATTTTCTATGCCTAGCGGCATGAGGACTTACAAAACAGAGCAGCGCCGGGCACTTCGCAAGGGGAGGGCACAGGAGAAAGGAAGACAGCCGTGCATTGGTTTTCAACCTTCTGAACGCTGCGACCCTTTAATACATCTCCTCACTTTGGGGTGACCCCAATCATAAAATTGCTTTTATTGCTACTTCATAATAATTTTTTTCATGATGGTGGGAATGGTGACATTTGGCACAGCTGGTCCAGTGAAATGACATCTTCAATTTTTTTTACTAGTTTATAATAATTTTTTTCTGTGTACGGATGTTTTGCCTGCATGTATATCTATAGATGTATATGTATGTCAGGCCTGTTGCCTGTGGAGTACAGAAGAGGATGTCAGACCCCTTGGGATGGAAGTTTACAGGCAGTGTGAGCTGCTGTGCTGGTGCTGGGGATTGAACCCCGATCCTCTGGGAAAGCAGCCAGCTAGTACTGTAAACTGCTGAGCCACCTCTGTAGCCTGAAATGATATTTTTAAAAAAGACTTATTATATGTGTGCAGTATTTGTGTGTATATGTGTGTGTGTGTGTGTGTGCGCGCGCGCACTGTGTGCTTGCCTAATGCTGGAGGAGACCAAAAGAGGCCATTGAATCCCCTGGAACTAGAGTTATAGATGGCTGTAAATTGACATAGGAGTGTTGGGAACCGAACCTGGGTCCTCTGGTATCAAATAATCAGACAAACATGGAAGAGTGGAGCTGGTTTCCTGACACGGTGGTCTCTGTCATATCTTTGGGGCGGCTAGTGGGTAGAAGGCTTTTCTTCTTTTTCCTCTCTCTCTCTCTCTCTCTCTCTCTCTCTCTCTCTCTCTCTGTTTTGCTTTTTGTATCTTTAACTTGCTCTTATAGACCAGGCTAGCCTCGAACTCCTAGAGGTTCGCCTGCCTCTGCCTCTCAAGTGCTGGGATTAAAGGTGTGCCCCACCACTACACAGCTATCCTTGAATCTTGTAAAGAGCTTGACCAGCCAGCCTTACCCTGTTCTCTCCTCTAGGGACAGCAGGAACTTTCAAACATCCCGTCTTCCAACCCCACTCCCCACACTGCACAGGGAAGCGCAGAGCTAGGCAAGAACAAGCATTTCTTTTCCCTAAGGACTAGGTGGGCTCATTTCCGGTAAGCCGTCAGGGAGAACCTGGGCCTGGAAAGGAGCCTGGGCTGCTCACCAGCTCTGTGGCCTCAGCTAGTCACCATCTGTGGCACTCACCTCACGGCTTATCATGTGCTCAACCAAGGACAATGGAAGCTGGAGTTGGGGGGTTCACAATCACATCTATCCTCATCCGGTGTGCCCCGCTTTCAGTGTTCTCCCCTCGGCAGGGCAGCTCCACCAGAATAAGGGAAGAAGGCAGGCTGCAGCTGCTACAATCAAGCCTGTAACAGCCAGGAGAGACGCAGGGCTGCTCTGCACGGGTCTGAACTGTACCCAGTTCAGAACTGTCAGAGGGTGAGGACTTTTTTCCTTGAAGAAGGACAGTAGGTTTTGTTTTTAATAACACCCGCCTAAACCACAAGTGATGTTAATCCCAGCTCTGAGGAAGCAGAAGGCAGAGGTTCAAGGCTAGCTTTGGTTACAGAAGAGCCTGTCTTAAACAAGCAAAGGAGTTAAACAATTTCTTTTAATAGCAATGGGGCTGGAGAGACGGCTTGAGAGATAAGAGTGCGGTATTTCAGAGGACCCTGAGTTCAGCTCCCAGCACCAACATTGGGGGGCTCACAACTGCTATCACTCCAGGTCCAGGGAATATCATGCTTTCTTCTGGCTTCTGTGGGCACCCACATTCATGTGACATGCATGTGACACACAAGCTCACATGCTCATACACGCACACGCACACACACACACACCAAAACAAGGAGGGTGGAGAGAGGGCTCAACAGTAAAGAGCATTGATTGCTCTTCCAGAGAACCCACCTAGGTTCAGTTCACAGCGCCCATGTGGCAGCTCACAACTGTCTGTAACTCCGGGATTCAACTCTCTCACACAGACATACATGCAGACAAAATACAATGCACACAAAAGAAAAGTAAATAGATACATAACAAAACAAGCCAGGTGGTGATGGCACGTGCCTTAGATCCCAGCGCTTGGGAGGCAGAGGCAGGTGGTTCTCTGAGCTCAAGGTCAGTGCCTTATCCCCTGGAGTTGGAGTGGCAGGCAGCTGTGAGCCTCTACAACTGGAAATACTGAATTTGTCAATCCCTTCATTGTTGTAAAAAAAAAAAAATTAAAGGAAAGAAAGTCTGGAGACTGCTTTAAAGAAAGCTTTATTTACCACATCCATCTTAAGAATGTACTCTGTAAATGCAGCGAGGTCTAAAAAGCTTTTACAAATACGAAGCTACAAACTAAACTAGTGGCATGTCTACAACTTTAAAACTCTTAAAAACATTTATATTAGTTTGTTCTTAATCCTAAAAAAAAAAAAAAAGTTCACATTTCAAGTTATAAACTTACCTCAGTAGTGTACGTGAAATGGTGTGAAACGGTAGGCGTAGGTGAGACCACAGACAGCAGGGCCGCTGAAGCTTAACTGGCACCACCGCCGCTTGTTCTTAGGGTAGGTGCCACGTTAAGATAGTGCATGGTTTCCTTTTGTTATTACTATGATAGTAGTTTTCCCGGCACTTGTAAAATACAGCAAGAACATGGGGACAGTGTTTCACCTGAGGACCTCCGTGGCTGTACCTGAGGACCTCCGTGGCTGTACCTGAGGACCTCCGTGGCTGTCCTTGGCACTTCTCTCACACAGTCGAGGGAGGAGGGCCTGACACGAGTTGCCTTTAATGGAGGCTCTCATCCCACCCCGTCCGTGCGGGTGCAACTCAGAACATTGCAGGGCTAGTTTATGCCGTTCAACCAGGATGGCGAGGAATGCTTAAAGGCCTCAGCAGGCACTGGACATTTAATAGAACAGTTAAATAAATATTCCTTATATATAAAAATTCATCTCTTCGAGAGAAGGGGAAAAAGGCATTCGGGGATCTCTTAATTTAAAAGAAGAGAAAACAATTAAACAGCTATCTAGGAGCATTGGCTAGGGGCGTGATCCTAGGACCAAGCCACAAATAAGAGTTAAGCCCATTAGGCCAACGCTGGTGGGAAGATTTGATGGACTCTGTTATGACATAAAATACAACTGTACCTTATGGTGCACCTTATTGCACGCCTCACGGTCCTGACTGAGCCTTTAAAAAAAATGCACATTGATGTAATCCATGAAGCAGATGACGATATTAGCATTTTCCTGTATTTTACATTCACTCTGAAAGAGAAGCCTTTAAACAGGCACAAAACACTGCATCTGTGTTTTTAGTCCCTAAAAAAAATATAACAAACACTTTTAATAATATTGAGATAAAACAGCTGCGTTTGCATCACACTACACACCATGAGCTTTGGCAACACAAAATGACTACAAGCAAGCATCAGAAGTTATCACAAACACCCCTTTAACTCCTATAGGTGGCTCCCCCTCCCGGGTGCGTATGCCCCGTGTTCTTCTGCCAGACACAGAGTGCCCGAGGGAAGCCTTGTTCAACAAATGCTTCCAACCTTCCTGATGATGACAGACACTCTGCAAGAGACACAAGAAGCACAACTTGCTGTTGGCAAATCTTGAAGGTCTTGTCTATAATCATATACATTCTTGGCCTCCAAAAACTCAGACTCCAAAAATCAAAGCATTAGGAAGTTAAAAGTCCCATACTGAACAATTTAAACAGCTATGCCTTACGAAAAACATGGCAAAATAGTGCCCTTCCCTGCATTCTGCTACTGAAAACGCATAAAGAAGGCGATACCCCCCAAACAAACTAAAAATAATAATAATAACAATAATAATAAAAGACCCCGACAAAATCCCAGGAAGAAGTATAAAAGGCATCAGTTGTCTTCTCTATCAGAATTATCCATTTTTCTTAGCTATGCCAGACTTCAAAGAGATAGGAAGGAGGGGAGGGGAGAAGGAGACACAGTTAATGAAGACACAGGGAGAGAGCCCAAGGGCAGAAGAGAGCTTTCCAGTGTTGAGACCCTGGGTGTGACAAGTCTTTTCCATGTTGACTTAAAGACAGATTGTTAATAAAACAGAAGAAAACAAAACAACCCCCAAAACAGAAACCATGGTGAGAAACCATGGCAATATCGTCAACCCTTAATGCCAGGGAAATACAGCAGAGATTTCCACTCTTTTGGAAGCTGCACTTTCCAGCATCACCTTTAAAAATAAGGTTTTATGTAGCATTTCAAAGCTCTACAGTTGGTATCTTTAAATATTGAATAATAGTTTTTAAAATAGTTCCCTAGATGCTCGGATGTGCTTCTTTATTTTAATATATATTTATATAGCTGATATATTTTGAAAGGTTCTACAAAATAGAAATCTCTGGAGTGCAGAAGTTAAGAAAATAACCTTCATACTGAAAATATATCCTTAAAAAACAAAACCAAACCTCTGTCTGTACAAATGCAGTAAGGTGTACAAATCTTAAAAGATGGTATTAAGGCGTGAGGCGTTGCAAGTCTCTTAGAAATGTATGAACGAACGCGGGCCTGCTAAGTTGAAAAGTCTTTAAAAAAAAAAAAGAGAGTGAAAACTTCATGGATGTAAAACATTTCAGTGTGATAATCGCTAACATTCTTCACTTGCAGGTTTCGCACGTGTGCCAATTCAACACGTTCTTTCTTCATAAATAATAAAGTGTTCCTTCAGCGGTGTCTGGTGGCTTGCTTGCCTTGGCTCTGGTCCCTGGTCTCAGTAAGTCTGGTAGACGTCGTGGATGGGCACCTGGAGAGCAGCGGGGAAGGCCTGAGGTATGTAGCCGGCGTAGCCCCCGTACACGGCGGCCGCAGCATTCTTCTGTAGTGTGGCGATGGTGGCAGTGGCAGGAGCAGCGAAGGGAACGTAGCTGGCCCCGTAGATGCCGGCGGTGGGAATTCTCTGAACATTTGGTGCCACGGTATACACAGGAGTTATTGGGCGGCCCTGAGAGAGAGGGAGAGAAAAAAAAAAATCCTTCCTGAGCACATGTGCAGGTTTATCAAATCCTCGAACAATGAGCATTCAGTGTGTTGGGAGAAGATGAGCCCCCCAGCGGGGAGGGACAGAGGAGGTCTATGTATGGAGGCAGAAAAGGAGGGTAACATTTGCTGAAGGAGAATGAGATTAGACAGAACAAAATGTCATCTTTGGGGGGCTTGACATGTTCAAACCTGTGTCACAGGGGGAGGCTGTAGGAAGATCCCAGAGTTGTCTTACACTGGGATCTTTTACTGGACCTTGCATTCTGCCAGCTCATAAAGACAGGTAATGGCGAGGCTGGGAATCTACCTTAAGATCACTAATTCTAACCAGTCTAGGGCTGTCCCTCCTGTTTAAAAGTGCAATACACCAGGCTGGGCGGTGGTGGCACACACCTTTAATTCCAGCACTTGGGAGGCAGAGGCAGGTGGATCTTTGTGAATTCCAGGAAACCCAGGGCTAAACAGAAAAATCCTGCCTTGAAAAACCAAAATAAACATAAACAAACACCATCATGAATTAGATGTTCATATAGATATATTTTGTGCATAATATGTGCATGGAGGGGTAAGTTGTGTACCACAGGGCACTGGTCGAGGGGTCTCCCTCCTATCATGTGGGTTCTGGGGTCAGGCCACTGGGTTTGGAAAAAAGCACCTTTATCTGCTGATATATATATATGGCTCACATACACGCACACATATATGTACACTGTATATATGTACATATCTACATATGTATATATAGATATACATATCTACATATGTACTTTTTTAAATAATAAACTTTAAAAAAATCTTTATAAACAATTTCTTTCCTGTTATTTCACATGAACTTTTAAAAAGCTATCATTGCACAGAGTACATTCTCAGTGTTGAATACTAATGAGTCTCTGACTGAGAGAGGCTCCATATATAAATGACAGTGGCCACGGCAAGAACTCTACCTGGAAAGGTGGTGGTGTGGATACAGCAGGAATGACAGCATGGGCAGCGGCGGCGGCCGCAGCGGCGGCAGTGGCGGGGTCAGGTTGCACGGCAATGGGGCTGATCATGTGTTCCATTGTATGGATCTTGCCATCCTCAATGATCTTAGGGGCTGGGGCTGCCTGGAACATGGAGTACTGGGCACCGATGGCAGGGATGGCCACTGCAAAAGAAGCAGGCAGAAGACAGCTCATCACTCACGATCACAGAGGAAGGGCCTTCGCCTGCTGGTAGTTTTTGAAGGCCCAGGCTCACAGTCGTGAACCTCTGCAGATCCGTGCTGCTCGGCCTGGCTCAGCACCATGTCAGGACGGGGTTTCTCCGCAGATCATCGTGGAGGGAGCGTTCAGAGCGAGGCCTCTACACTGCTGTTTCCTAACACGTGTGAGCGTGCAGCCTGCTTACTCTCTCTTACGCTACTCATCACCACACAAGCCCTTTGCCCTTCCACAGTGTTTCAAGAAGCAGGTTGAGCGAAGATCCCATCCTGACAGCTTGGAGATGGGAGTACATTCTCCCCACCTTTTATCTCGCATTAGTTACATGGATCCAGTTGGAGGGGCTTTGAGTCGGAAGAGGAAAAAACCTCCAACGTGCTAACAATCCATTTATAGTGGTGAGGCGGTGGGTAATTGGCTTTTCGCTGGAACCTGCCAACTCAAATAATTTCTGTGAGTAGAGTCCAAAGGAACGGCTTCCAGCAGAGATTCAAACAGATAGAGTTACTGAATGTCAATGTGCAGTATCAAGAGATCAAAAGGAAGAGATGCTAGCCCCGATTTGGGAGAGCTTGTGTATGTGCATGCTGTGTGTGCTGAAAGAGTAAGCAGGACCATGAAATGTACACACAAAGAATCCTTTCATCTACTAAGATGGATATGATCAAAGGTAAGGAGACAAAATGTCCATACTATAAACAATGGCTTGGCCATTCAATAAAAAAAAAAAATTTAAAATTTTAACCAAATATCTTTACCTGCCTTCCCAACCAAATCTGCCACCAATCCTGGGCCCAAATATGTTAGCCTGCCCTGGTATCTGTCGGAAGGACAAAGACGTACCTTCAAATGATGTACAAGGGTCGTGGTGCAGCTAGGGCTACTGGTTGAAGCCACGTGGGGGCTGTACGGAGTAACTGCGTTGTTCTGGCTACCAGCCTGCAGAACTCTCTACACCTGGACACAGGACTTCACATGGCTAAAGACTGTTTGGTGCCAATGACATTTCTAAGGCATCCCAATGCCGGAAGCCACTATATTGTAAAGACGGCAGGGCTATTTCCCCAGTTACCACCGAATTCAACACGTCAAACCTATGTTCCAAACACACCAATTCCTTGCCTCTTAGCTTGGAAAAGAAGTGAGCAATTAGGAAAGGAGCAGGCGACCCTCAAAAGCTCTTTGGCCTACCCCAGTGAGGCCAAGAGGCCAGGGAGAACATTACTCTGCTTATCCACAGAAAACTCTCCACAGATTCAGAGGTTAGTGTGTGGAAATTCTGCGTACCGTGTGTCTGCCAAACTCACTAAAACAGTTAAAGCTTATCCTTCCTTGCAGTGGGTGACCAACGGGCTACCAAATGCTGGTAAAATAACTTTGTGGAGACTGGTAGTAAAAACAAAGGTCAAGGTCACTGGCTCAACGGATTGAGCATCTCTACTCTAAATCTGCGGTTCTAGTTGTAAAACCCTTCACCTCTGCCTTGTCCGAGAATGCTGGCGCCTGTCAGACCATCCAGGAAACCTGGCACTGTTTGCTCTGGAAAAGAGTTCCTATCTTCTCTGAGAACTGGTAATTCCCGTGCCCTCTGCTTTTTGGTGGCTGAAGCACAGACGGGACGCAGCTCAGTGACGGAGCGTTTATGTTCTCACAAGGAAAAGACGGGTTCTAGATGACAGAAGGAGCGGGAGCTCCATTCCCTTCCACCCCCTCCTCACCTCTGCCCGCGTGGTCACAGACAGAGAAATAGCCAGACCACTGGCAGCTAACACCTGTGTGCAAACTCCCCGGAAGCCTAACATGAACGTGGCCCAAACTAGACCAATCCCCTAAATTCTAGGGGGTCAGGGTGTGGAAGGCGGGGGCATGACACGCGGACCATTTTTTTGCAGATGGATTCAAGAACCAAGAAGACCGGACTCACTTGAAAGAGAAGTTTCAAGTGAGGGTTTAGGGCCAAACGATGCGTTTGCACTGTTTATACTGACCTGCGCCGGGTTTAATGGCAACTGGGTTGACAGTAGAGATTTCCAAATTTGGCACAAGTTCATATCCTTTTTCTTGCTGTTTGCCTTTGCCTTCGTGATATCGGCTATATATACCACGGCCAGCAGAATATCCTCCGAGGTAGGAACCCCTGGGCCCTGGGGCTCTGTTTCCAGCCGCACCTCGGCCTCGGCCTCTTATGCTGCCTGCTTATAATACAACACAAAGAAGGATGAGCCGGCAGCAGCGAAGGTCAGGGCCTCTGGCCTGCCCTCGGTCTAAGTGGCAAGTGGCCACACCTCTGGCCTAAATGGACTAATAAAATGCTCCTGACATTCTACTTCTGCCTACTTCGCCATTCTAATCTGTCTACTTAGTGCAAGGTGAGTTCCCAGGATTACAACTTCAACTTCAGTGATAGAGAGGAAAACAGATCTGGAAAAAGCCTGCCTCTCTTCCTTGTTTCGTGCTTAAGGAAAAAGGCAGGGTATATTAATTCAGAGCCAGCGAACAGACAGTGGGTCCCTGGACCTGTTATGTTTTCTAGTGTCATGCTTGGTCTTCTATCCTGAGCGATCTTAAGGAACTACGGCTCTGCCAACCAATACCCTAAGATTTAACATCAGAAGCAGTAATCCAGGAAGCCTCAAAACTAGGCATCCATCCTCTTGCCTCCCCCTTTAGAAGGCTGGCATCACCACCTGCCACCACCATGAAGAGTTTACTTAAACCCCAAGGGATAGGCAGACCTGCTGCTCCACATGGGTTAAGCCATACATAGCAAGGGGCAAAGTGTCCCAAGGATTTGACTGCCCAACCAGAGGGATGTTTCTCTCAATACAATAGTGACTGCGAGCCAGCACTTAGAACCTCAGCCTAAATGGGTGGGACCTAGTATTTGCAGCCATGCTCAACCTGACACCCGTGCCTATGGGGGCTGGACACCCAGGGGCCCTCAAGAAAAGAGTCTCCACTAACTTTTCACGAAGTAGTCCCTGTTGGGCCCGATGAGCGCGTTGTAGGGGTAGCCATAGTAGGCCAACGTGTAGGGGTCACAGGAATACACATAGCTGGGCTGCTGGGCTACCACCTCGGCTGTGCCACCGCCGCCCTTGGCCGCCTTCTGGTAGCGGGAGTACTGCTCCTTGTCCACAGGCTTGGCCAGCGTGACCTCCAAGCAGGAGCCCTCCAGCTCTGTGCCGTTGAGGTTGTTCATGGCGTGCACAGCGTCCTCACGGCTAGTGAAGTGCACGAAGGCGTAGTCGCGAATCTTCTTGACCCGTTCCACGCAGCCTGGGTTGAACTGGCCGAAGCTCCTCTTGATGGTCTCCTCGGTGGTCTCGATCATGAGGTTGCGCACATAGAGGATCTTCACTGTCTGCATCACGTCCTCGTCCACATCGATCTCGGGCTCAGCCCAATCCACGGCGATCTGGTGGCCCCACAGTTGGATGCGACCCGGCATGAGCTTGCGGCGGGCCATTGCTGCAGCGCGATGGCTCTCGTACTCCACGAAGGCGAAGCCTCGGTTTTTCATCTTGTCTGCCGCGCTGGCGTAGACGATCACGTTGAGCACGCCTTCAGTGACCTTGGCAATCTCTTCTAGGATCTCCCCACGCTTCTTCATCTTGGGGATGCCACCGATGAAGAGGCGGCAGTTGTCTACGCTGCAACACACGCCCAACAGGCGGCCCGGGCGGATCTCGTAGTTGTTGAGCTCACGAACAGCTCGCTTGGCCTCATTCTTGTGGCAGTACATGACGAATGCATAGCCGCGGTTCTTGCCATCGAAATCCATCATGAGGCGCAATTCGTAGATGCGGCCTACGGTCTCAAACACAGGTACCAGCTCATCTTCATACACATCACGCGGGATCTTCCCCACGAAGACCTCGCAGCCTCGCTGGGGATGCGGACCCTCCCAGCCGGGCGGAGGTCCACCATACTTGCGCTGCCCATTCTCCTGTACCATGCTGTAGCCGGTGCGCTCCATCAGGGCCAACAGTGCAGCCTCATTGGGCGCGCCCGCCACGCCCTCTGGCACCTTGGAGGAGGACCCAACTGTGGGATCGCTGTTCATGGCTGTGGTGGAATCCTCTGCGGTCATACTGTCAAAGGCATCCACGGCTGGCTGGCAGTAACCTGTGGAAAGAGAAAGGAGGAGTGTGAGTGGAAACCCGGCAAAGACTTGGTCCTGAGCTCGCCTCCGTTTCTGCTCTCACTCTTTGGCAAGGCATGCTTGTGAACAGGCAGGTCATGGCGTGCTGAGTTGAGATTATTAGATGGAAGAGACCGCTGTGGAAATACAGGTGGTCTTAAAACAGTCAAGCTGTGAGAGCCCGCTGTTGTCTTAGGGGAAAAATCTTAGCTCTTGCAGCAAGCAATGACTTTCGTCTAACCCCTGCACCGTGAACTCGGATTCCATTTCTCTAGGTCACTCTGCAAATTTCACTTATTTCTTTGGTGGTCACAGACTTTTTATTTATTTTCTCAAAGGGCAGACCTTTTCACTGCACCAATAGAAACTGGATGACATAATTGTCCCCACCATGGTGGCGCGGGAGTTGTTGGGGAGGCGACCTAGGGCTTGGTGCCCGTTAGGCAAGCATTCTACCACCGAGCTATGTCTCCAAAGCTAGAGCAATGTAATTGCTAGAGTAAACTTAAAGGAGATGTTTTCCTACACGGTGGTTAGGGGGGGGGCGGGGGGCTGTGTACTGGAGTTTTTAACAGGAAATGAGATGTTTCCACTGCTGAGGAGCCGGCCTAGTAACGAGTCCAATTTCTACAATATTCTGGCAAAATCTTGGTATGAACCATTCGCAGATTGAGACTCAGTTCATAGAGAGTCAGGTTCACTCAGGAAGCTGTGAGGCAATGTTTCTATGGGGAAAGACAGCCCTGGCTAAGAACTGTCATCTCGCTCTTAGCTCGCCTTCCCAGCCTTCCGCCACAGTCGCTGACTTCATCTCGACTTGCTTGGGGGAAAGAGAGGCTGAAGTTGTGTGAACTGCCCCAGTTCACACAGGAACCTGGGCATTTGGCTCCAGATTCCATCCTTCTTCAGAACTGTGCTGTGCAAAACATTTATTTCTTTAGGAGGGTCTCGCTCACTCGCTCACACTAGCCCTTAGGTGACCTGGAACTTACTCTCTAGCCTAGGCTGGTTAGGATCTCACGACAATTCTAGCCCAGCCTCCTGAATGCTGGGGTTACAGATGTGGGCCATCAACCAAGCCAGACTTTTGGTTTTATTTTGTTCTGTTTAAAGACCAAGTCTCAAAAAAAGAAAAAAAAAAAAAAAAAAAGACCGAGTCTCCATAAGTAGCTTAGTGGTCTTGAACTCACAACCTCCTAAGGTCTGGGAATAGAGGTAAAAGTTACCACACCTGACTCAATACAGTTTGGAGATGGTGTCACTGGCCACCTGCGACTAATAGAGCTTAAATAGGGCATAAGAAACTAAATTAAAGTTTTTCTTTAAGTAGCCATAGGTCTGAATGGTGTCTGCCTTCATTCAGAGAGCATAGAGTAATGATGACATTAAAAGTTGCACGCAATGCTTGTGTAATGAAAAGGTGATGTAGCCCTGGCTGTCCTGGAACTCACTTTGCCCTGGCCTCGAACTCCAGGAGGTCAGCTGGCCTCTGCCTCTCAAGGGCTAGGATTAAAGATTAAAGGTGTGTGTCACCACCACCAACTCAGAATGAACTTATCAAACAGCAAAATCTATCTCATTATTGGACAAATGAATTCTGTAGAAAAATCAAGAACTGGCTGGAGGGATGACTCAGCGGTTAAAAGCACTGACTACTCTTCGAAAGGATCCAGATTTGATTCTCAGCACCCACATGGTGGCTCACAACTGTCTGTAGCTCCTGTTCTAGGAGATTTGAAACCCTCCTCTGACCTTCGTGGGCATCAGGCACGCACATGGTACACAGACATACATGCAGGCAAAACACCCATACACATAAAATAATAACAAAAAAGAAACAAGAGTCATGGCTGAGTGTCCCCCTAGTGACAGTCACCATAGAACTTTCCCCACCGTTTTTCTATCTTGGGGGCTAGTGTCTGAGACATGGCTTCCTCCTCTTTGCCGCTTCCTGTTTAAAAACATTCCCACACATTCTCATGCTTTGTAAAAATGTCACTTTAGCGATAGCCTAAGGTTTCATCATTCAACTAGAACCAGGAACACTGTTTATTTTTAAAATGTTGAACTATGACCTGTGCACGAGACTATTCAGGGAAGATTCAAAAATAACCAAAGTGGCCGAGGATGTACAGGTCATTGGACAGTGCTTGACTTGCGGCAGGTGTGAGGGGGGCCCCACACAATACCCAGCAACACAAATTAAAGAAGAAAGAAAGCTAAGTATGGCATCACACATCTGTAATTCCAGTACACACATGGCAACAGGACTGTAGGTTTGAGGTCAATATAAAGAATGGGACCCTGTCTCAAAAAGAAAAAAAGAAGAACCTTAAATCTATACTGGCACACAAAACAGAGATACGTATTTATAACTTAGCCCAAACAGTCCCCGTTTGGCCCGTTTGCTGTAACAAGAGCAGTAGGGTGTTCAGAGTTGGAGGGGGCCCCTGTAGTCAGACAACATGGTTGAACCCCAGTTAACCCTCCCTAGTTGTATGACGTAGAAGGAGGACACTTAGCTATTGTATAGATCACTTTTCCTACCTGTAAATGGGAATCCTAATGATAGTAATAATGTCAACACAAAAAAATGAGTTAATATATACAAGATACTATGGCGGTTTGAGTGTGAAATGTCCTATAGTCTCGGTCCCCAGCTGGTGGTGTGTTTGGGGCAGTTTAGGAGGTATAGTCATGCCGGCGGAAGTGGATGTTTATGGTTCAAGATGTGAGCTTGTTCCAGCCTCCTAGACTGCTGCCTGCTGCCACACGGTCCCAGCCATCGTGGATTCTAACCCCCTGGAACTGTAAGCCCAAATACTTTTTTTGGGTAATGTTATCTTATCACAGAAACAGTAAAGTAACTAGTGTAGACACTCCCACTTGCTGCCCGGCATGGCTTTGAACTCATAATCCTCCTGCCTCAGCCTCCTCAGTGCTGAAATTACACAAGCCTGCACCACACCATGCCCATCTTGAATAAGGAACTTTGCTCTATGCCCAGAACACTGTAATAGCTCAAGAAATGTGATATTACCCTTGATTCAAATCTTGGTGAACGCTCCTCAGATCAATTTTTTATTTGAATTTTAGTAATTTTCAAGATGCGTTTTTTCTCATATTTTTAAAAATATTTTAAAAATTAAAAATTCACATATTTCAAAAAATACCTTTGAGGGCCTGGTGAGATGGCTCGGTGGGTAAGGGCACTTGCCACCAGGCATGACCTGAGTTTGAGCCCTGGGACCTATAGGGTGGAGAAGACCAAACCCTGCAAGTTGTCCCCTAACCTCTACACACATGCCCGCTCCTCTACCTACACAAATAAATGTCATAAAGAATCTTAAATATGTCTTTGGATAGGGTTCCCTTTGATTTGTTTATCTTGTTTCCTTTGTGCTACAATGCTCATAAGTTAGCCTGACAAAAGCTCCTTATCGTAAAGATTTTTTTTTTAGTGTACATTTCGAATGATACATTGGTTCCTCTAATCTCAATGTGAAGATCTCTCTCCTTCCGAATGGAAGGTGAGCACGTGTAGTTTAGGGGACCATTTAAAATCTGTGACCTGCAATGGAGGATGCCAAATACATATACAAGCATAGGTATGATCAAGAGGGAGATTCTATGTGCTATAATACAGAAAACATAGAACTGGTGGATGGTCACAGGAGTGGAACTTGTTCCTTAGTACACACACACCCTTTTAAAAAAAAAAGGCAAAAATTTCAGAGGCAAAAAAAAAGAAAAACAAAAGATAACAAAATTTTGAAAAAGGCCCTTAAAAAATGATAGGCCTTTAAAATGTATTCTTTATTTTTGTGTGTATGTATGTGCCTGTGTGTATGTACATGTGTGTGTGCATGCGGGTGCCTATGGAGGCCAGAACAGGGAGGGTATCAGATCCCCTGGAGCTAGAGTTACAGGTGGTTGTGAGACACCTGATGTGTGTGCTGTGAACTGAGCTCGGATCCTTACAATAGCAATAAGCCCTCCTAAGCACTGAGCCATTTCTCCAGCCTTCCCAAACATCAGACCTTTCAAAAAGGCATACTTGCTTAGCACGCACGAGGTCTTGGGTTTGATCCTCAGCATTGCAAACAATAAATCAATGAGATACTGGGTCAGTTTAGCACATTTAGGAAAATCTTATAGTCTACTGGGCTCTGCTCTCCCTAGCTTCATGCCACAGGCAAGTAAGTTATAAGCAAAATTTTGTAATTTTGTAAATTTGAGGCCAAAAATTTAGACATAATAAAAGGTAATCACTTACTTATTGCCTTAAAAATGACTTTTTCTCTCCAAACCCAATAGATTGGACTTAAGAAAACTGTAAATGCTTTAGATGAGCTCAGCAAATTCCAGCTGCGGACCAAATACTGTCTGCCATTTGTTTAGGATAAAACCCTATTTATAAAACCATATCCTTAACATGGGGTTGGGGGAGAAAGGACCATGGATGACGGCCATGGTGGAGTTATGGAGCTGAATAGTTGGGGTACAGGCAGCATGGCCCACAAAGCCTATCATGCTTGCTCTCTAGCCCAGTCCCTGGTTTGGGTGCAGGGCCAATCACTACACACAGATGTGAAAGTGTCAGGGAGTGTGACGTCGCTGATGTGGGAGTGTCATATCAATCTGTTGATTTCATTGGTTAAGTAATAAACCAACTGCTTGGCCTCATAGCTTAGAACATAGGTGGGTGGAATAAACAGAATAGGATGCTGGGCGGAAGAGGAAGTGAGGTCAGACTCTGCGCTGCTTCCAGAGGGACCGGACAGCCGCCATGCTCTGCTCTCCCAGGCAGCTGCAACCCACGATGGACGTAGGCTAGAATCTTCCCGGTAAGCGCACCTTGGGGTGCTTACACACATCATTAGAAATGGGCTAGTCCAGGTGCGAGAATTAGCCTGTAAGGGCTAGAGTTCATGGGCCAAGCAGTTCTTTAAATGAATACAGTTTGTGTGTTGTTATTTCGGGC